TGTAATATACGAGTTTTCAAAGTTTTACGATAAATATAAGACAAATTTATTGTAGAATTGTATAAACGACGCTTCCATTTCTCCACTGTGACAAAACTTCTAGTACCGAGTAAAACTATTAGTATTATTTTTATCAACCCACCCCCTCTTTTACTCATTTAAAAGACCATCATCATCGTAATAAATCTGATATTTTACTATAGAGTATAAATAATATTTCACCTCATCAACACTATGATTCTTATTTTTTTTTACTTGTCCAGTTTAACTACGTTTTATTTCTCATATAAACCTCCAGAAAACATTATTGTATTGTGATGGGTTAAATAATTTGAGGTAATTGTCACATAGATTTTATTCTAGTTGATACTTGTCAACAACGTGTATTTTAATTCGTGAAGAGACTAATGCGGCATGTGAAATTCAAACTCGCTTCACTCAGTTGCACAGCCAGACAGATATTACTGTTGAGCTTTTCGAATGACTACTACTATCTTAATGTAGGATTGATATTTTTTACATAGACTGATCAATGAACAGTAATATTGATAAATAAAATTCCATCAGGAAAAAGGACTAGACAAACACATTTTTAATTTACTACTCAATGATCAGTCAGTGTACTATGCAATTTGAAAAGGCTTTTATATGAAAGAGAGTCACATAACTAAAATTATGTTGCAAATAATCCTTAAGTTGATAATTTAATTGGTCAGTGTTTGTTTAAAGTTTTGGTTTTCTTATAACGATGATTGACTGTAAGATAGTTCTACTAGCCAGTAAAACTCACGTGGTACTAAAAAATAAACGATTATGTATAATAAAGAAGTTATTTCTCTCTAGCTTGCCATAACATTTAACGGTTGTGTTCATTTGAATATAAGTGTATTACTTGTTTCGCATACAATTCCACTAACCTTTTAAAACGTTATTCTGGGTTTAAATAAATAAATGATTACTCCTTCAGATCTTAAAGAAAATGTTATCTTTTCACTCTCTGAAGTAGTTAATACAATGGAAATACAGAGGTTTCATGTAACACTAACAACTTCTCGTGGATGATTCAAACATAAATGAAAAATATACGAGATCTAATGTGTATGGATGACCTTGTTTATAATATGATCAAATCGAATAAATAAATTAAGCGGTCAATCTCGTTCGTTCTTAGATGGAGAATGTGATTTAATAACATGCAATATGGTGTTGATAAATGTGTTACATTTTTAAAAAACATAAATACAATTTACATGCTTCTATACCAACCAATTTTAATACGATTTAATCTTATTTAAGAAATGTTTTACGAATTTAGTGTTTGCATATAAGAAAGTATGTTATATCGCTGAAAAAAAAGTTAGTTAGTTAGTTTAAAAAAGCATCTCATTTTTCAACAACCTGAAACTATGTCAGCTTATTTTACATGAGTAAATGTAACATGGTATAGCGTTTTCATGTACCAATAAGTATAGAAATCCATATATACATAGAATTATTGATGAATATGGAAACATCACATTTCATTGTGTACAATCCATACTAAAATACACACATGAATTATGACTGGTTAATAATAGAAAAAAAACATTTCTGAAATTTTTTTTCTAATTTTCTACCTCTTTTCCAATTGTTTTGTTTATTGTGTTCATAACAATTACTATTTCACTGTTAATCTCTACTCGTGTCAGTATGTTCAGACAATAAAATACTGTACACCCGTCTTTTTTTTTTAAAGAAAAAATCAATATACTCAAATATATTGTGTCATGGTAACAATTGTAGATCGTGCTGTTTACTTATCAACATGTGTGTTTGCCATTGTAAGTTAATAATTAAATTGTTGATACTGTTACTGGAGCCATCATTATAAAAGTCTTTATTTTATATAAGATAAAGAATTTAAAGCTTAGTCATGACTTAGAAATTAAATTTATAATAATCCTTATAAAAGCTTTTTTCGCTTGTAATTATTACATAGTTGTCTGTAGTATTTTTTTAAGAAAAAAGAGGCTTTATACAAGTTATTTTAACTTTAATTGATTAGTTGTTAAGGGTTAAGATTTAACTGAATCCCATTGGTCATATATTTCAATTTATTAACTTACCTACCTAAGTATTACTCTAAATAATTAAAAGATTGAAGTTTATGTAATTCAATCACAACAATTAGCAATATAATTCACTTGGTATTGTTTTACTTGAATCTTCCCATTGATGTTTTAGGACTGAAATTGATCAGTCTCTTATTGGCATACGTGCATACTGTGCGTATGCCTCGATATTGCCTTAATTTACAAGCATTATAAGCAAAGATGGATTGTGGCTAGCAGTGGAATCCAGGACGTGCGTTTCGTCCTGTTTGGGACTCGTCAGCTGGATGTACCTGCATCTCAGAGTTGATGTTCACTCTGGAATCATATAGAGTTAAAATATCCTGTCAGTGTACAATATTCACTCAAAAGTTTTGTTCTAAATGTTTCCTAATAGTTGCTAACTTGTATAAAAACTGATTTTTATATGTACTATTAGTTTCCTTAAAAATATAAAGTATTAATCTGATTATCGAATTATTGTTATAACAACAACCAAAAAAAACTAATTTCAATAATGATTATTAATTATGACAAGATACAACTCTTTACTGCTTAAAATGTTTTAATTATTGTTCAGTATTTAATGTGTCCAGCTGCTTGTATCTAATGATCATAAGCATTGTTCAATGAAATTAAAGAAATATTTATTACTATCAGATGGGTTTTATGGATATTATAGTAATTTCAGTGGTTAAGATCATGAGTCAGTTGAAGCTAGACCACTATGGAAAACCTGGAAGCACTAGACGGCCATTTCGTCCCATTATGGAACTCCTCAGCAGTGCGCATCCACGACCCCGCCCCCTGCGAGATTCGAAACCAGGACCTACTGATTTCGCGCACGAGCACTCAACCACTAGAGCACTAAGCCGGCATCCAACGATGTTAATGTCTAACTTCAACTGATTCATGATCTTAACCATTGAAATTACTATATTATCCACAGAACCCATCTGATATTAATCAACATATGTTCACTAGTGACTGGCATCACGAGGTATATCCTGGAGTTCTAGTGAGAAGTGGTGACCAGTGAAGTTGTGAGATATTAACTCACTGATGACAATGGTAGATGTGTCGCTCAATTTTGTGGATTAATTGAAGTTAGACATTAACACTGTTGGATACCGGTCGGCTCAGTGGTCTAGTTGGTTGAGCGCCTGGCGCGAGGCTGATAGGTTCTGGGTTCGAATCCCGCAAGGGGGCGGGATCGTGGATGCGCACTGCTGAGGAGTCCCACACTGGGACGAAATGGCCGTCTAGTGCTTCCAGGTTTTCCATAGTGGTCTAGCTTCAACTGACTCATGATCCTAACTATTGAAATATTTATTACTTACTTTTTGATAAGTAGAAACTTAGTTATGTTTCGGAGTTTAATCCATCAATGAAATAAAACATTTGACATTTTAACTATCTAGTTGCAAGTTCTACTTTGATTTGGTAACTCTTCGAACTTTTCACATACAACGTTTTTCTCTTAATATAATATAATAATATATTCTGAAAATAATAATTACAGAATTCATGCCAGGTTACAAGCATGATCAATTTGATATAAATAGTAATATTGAATATAGAAAATAAAAATGTGATATAAGATTGTTTAAGTTTACTAGTTCAAAAATTGTTTAAATAGTACATTTATGACATGTATTACAGCAATGCAATACAATGCATGAGATGGGAACTTTTAATTCTTCTTAAGTGGATATCTTTTTGATTTATGAACGGCGCATTTAAGGTCATTTCCCGTGCCAGAACTAATTAATGATAATTATCTACAATAACCATTTCAAAAATTAAATGAATGATTTTTGATAAATATAAAATTAATATATTACTTCATCATGTTCACTGATTTATTGAATCTTACTAGTATAGGGGTTGTGGAGGTTATTAAGTTTTTGATTGAGATCATGAACCGATTGATGTTAGACCACCTTTGGAAGCCTGGAAGCACTGGACGGCCGTTTCGTCCTATTTTGAGACTCCTCAGCACTGCGCATCCACGATCCCGCTCGGGGGATTCGAACCCAGGGCCTTCGGTCTCGTGTAGACCTATGTAAAGAAACTACTTTTAATCTATTAATGTTTTATACAATACACAACTGATTTTATTGATTTTATTTAGAGTATGCTTAGTTGTTTTATTGAACATTTTGTTTTAGGATTTTGTCATTTCATTGTATATTTTCAGTGTTTGGTAATATATTACGTAATATGATGAACAGGCTATTTTTTGATCAACTTTACCTGAATAATTCTCTGATTGTATAATTTCTACTTAACGTTCATCTTACATTTTTCTCTTTTAAAGGATCTTAGAGGTCCCTTTGGTTTAGTTGTTTCTGAGTTCAGTAAGAATAGATATATGCTTAAAAACAACATAAGTCACAATTCAAATATGTGTTCCTTTACTGATGCTCAAAGATGAATGATAGTTATGGAAAAATGTATCCATAGCTAAAATACAACTCCTTGAAGATAGAAGATAAAAGGTTTATTTGATATACAAAAGGTTGATTAAGAATAATATTTCAGCACGCTCATTTCTTTGCATTATCTATTAATGAAAATTGAATCTATATATCATTTAAACAAATGCTATAATCAACTAGTTCATAAATCAAATAGCCAGAATATAGTCGAATATCATACTGAATTAGCGTCATAAAGAATTAATTCATAGTCTCATGCTTCAGTTGCCAACAAAACACTGAGCAAATATTTTGGGATATTCTTTTAAAATCATCGGATAAAATCACTGTTCGTTTTTCATAAGATAACACTGACCTTCTAAAACCAAACGACGTATTTATTTTATTGGAAAAGTTCAGTTTATCGTTTTAATGACATAATTTATTTCATGAAACTGTCATCGTTGTTTTTACTATACATTTCTTTCAGAAATTCATGGCTTTGAAATAGGTAAAACAGATTTTAAACCAGAGTTGAAAGCGAATCATGGTCCGAATTTTACTCAAATTACATGCCGTATAAATCGTCCAAAACCAAATGCAGAAGTCTACTTGACATGCCCTGCCTTAGGAGAAAGTACAACACATGAAAATTGTTACCAAGGCTGTCAACCGACCAATCCTTGCACTCACTCAACACAGTATCAGTCTGGATGTGTACCACATGACCAAACAGTATTTTGTCAGAAAATTGAATTTCCTAATGGTACTGTTGTATTGAATTTAAACGTGGATCGAACTGATAAACGACTGGCAGGTTTATGGTCTTGTACACATGCTGGTCTGGAAAGTACCAAGTTTGAGGTAAGATATTTTTGTATGTCAGCTTTATGAATGCTAATTGAATAGGAATACACAATTTACTTTATGGTATACGGTGTACGGTAATGCATGGAAGCATATTATGATAATTGAATTACACAAATATCATTCGATTTCTAAAATTTCACTCGATTAACGACCTAACATATTCATGCTGAGTAGCAAGTATCTATCATTTCATACATTTCACCAAACACTTGGAATCCGTGAGAACATTCATCTCTTATTTAAATGAAGTGAAAAAGACTACTTGATTGTTTCCCAACCAAATTTACAAACAAACCTTTATTAAAAGATTAGGAACAATAATTTAATGAAAATACATAACAAATGTTGGTAAAATAAATAAAGTTATCATTTGTACTTCCACACACATTGCAACAACTAACCCTTATTACTAATTAAACAGATCAAACTGAAAACATCGTGAAAGCTATTAAATGTCATATTAAAAAGACTCTACATCTTATATATATATATATATATATATATATATATATATATATATATATATATATATTTAACGTCTAAGCATAATATTAGGTCGATAGTGTTACTTTATGGAAGGTTTTAACCTTCACCTAACTATACACCGTAACCATAAATCTTATCTTCATTTTTTGTCTAACGAGCAACTTCTCCAGGTATCCCTTACTATAGACGGTCACTAGTTGAGAATCTATTGAAAAATATAGAGCTTTGAGCATCCGTTTCATTTTATTGTGCAAATCCATAACAATAAATATTCATCAATTCCCATAACACTAAACTCAACACTACATGGGTCTCGTCTCGAAACTCATAATAAGACAAAGTTCTGTAGCGCATTTTTTAAATTGTAATCACTATTTTAATATAATATGATCTTGATTCCACGTCTAATTCCTGACTTAAAGTCAACTAAATCACTTATTCTAAAACTTTATTGATGAGGAGAGTTGTCTCCATAACTAAATATAATTTTCCATAAAACATTCAGCTCAATAATCACCTTCAGCTTGATTTTTCACATTAATAATACTTCTATGATTTATCAAATCAAATCAAATTTAGTAACTTTAATTGTGTATAAGTTTTGCATTAGAAATGTTATCAGCTTTGATGTGAATTATTAGATGAATTCGATTCTTTTATGCTATGAGCATCATTTTAAATGTTAGTATTGCAAACTTTTCGAGAATTTAAATAAGAAATATAAATGAGACAAACTAAGTTATTTCATCATAGAAAATAGACAAGGGATTAAAAATAAATGAAATATATCTTGGTTACCTGTAGTTTAGAGATTCTTTGTTTATTGATTGATTTGAAGAATTATTGTTCAGTTATGAAATTTAGAGACCCAAAACGTTTCAGTTTGGAAACTTTTGTTTAAGATTATAAGTCGTGGTTCGTATGTGAAAATCTAATATTGAGAAACAGGAGTAGTTAGTCATGACTTTTAACTATCAACAGATTGATTAACAAATTTAAACCGATGTCATCTGAACACTGAAGAGATCAACATTTGGATAAACAAATTTCCATACATGTTTTCATTCACGTTCTACGCTGAAGGTAATGAAGGATATTTCTAGCCGGCTAATGTACATGAAAATATAAGTATCAAACTATGAGTTACAGCTATGAATATAAATGATATGGTATCGCTCTCTATAGAATGTAAACCCAATGAAGCTTTCTACATAAAATGATATAATCTGGAGAACAATTAAATAATTAGTGTACGGTTCTATAGACGTCCAAAAGTTAAAGTTTTCAATAAATATGTAGTTGATGTGGAATCATGACGAGAAGTTTTTGTTCACAATAAGTTGTTATGTTTTGCCCAAACTACCGAATCACATATTACCACAAAAGGGATATAAACCAAAGGAATTATGGGTGAAAATTCTATCTTTAAATGTTATATCCTTTTCTTACTGAAAGCTAAATCTATGTGAAAACTAGAGGTAATCTTCTGTTTTAAGATGTACGACTTTTGAATTATTCCAGTAATGCTAAATCATTAAATGTAAAACCGATATTTATAATGACTAATTACTATCAGGTTAATAGATGGCATCAAATCGAAAACAAACATCAATATGTAAGAGATAATGTTTTTTTAAAAGGGACATAAAGACAATTTCTTATTTTTAAACCAACTTCCCAACAAATGATTAAGTTATTCTCATACATCTATAAGAAAATTATCGTTAATTATTATTCATCATCAGGATCCATTCCTAAGCATCATAATTCAGCAATGAACACAAATCTTTCAGTCACAAAGTTTAATTCTAGCTCTTGATATAATCATACCTAGTCATTTTGCGGAAAAATGTGGTTCACTCCATTATGTTATAAATCATGCGACCATATCAGAATATTAACCAAATTATTCGATATCCCGATTTTTAATAAGTTATGAACACTATACACACTTATTTATAAAAAAACGTTGTTCCGCATGTTGAAATAACCTGACACCAAAAGAGAACAACTTTAATTGAACTTCACCTGGTGTTGTTTTACTTGTATCTTACCATTGTTAATTAGGACTGCAATTGATCAGTCTCTTGTTGGAATATGTGCATCCTGTGCGGATTGCCTCTATATAGTGTTAAGTCACAAGCTTTTTAAGCAGAGATGCATAGTGGTTAGCAGTGGAATTCAGTTTGACGCGTGTTTTGTCAGTTGGATATACCTGCAACCGAGTTGATGTTCGCCCTGGGACTCAAATCCAGTACCATTCACTTCAAACGCCATCATGTTATTCAGGTACATCCAGTTGACGATTCCCAAATAGGACGGAACCCTCGTCCTGGATTCCACTGCTAACCACTATCCGTCTTTGTTTAATTGAACTGTTACATATTATTTAAATGTATAATTCATGAATTTAAGAGTGTTTATTAGAAATCATTCTAAATTTATTTTGTTTTTCTTGTTTAAAATCACAGATAGAATTAAAAAGTTATTCAATTATGAATGAAATTAATCCACTTTCAAAACCTGTGGTAAAACAAGAGAAACATGACTCAGGTACAAGTGAGTTCAACTGACAAATTATCAATTTTTATTAAGTTAATTAGAAATTATTATTATCCCCAAAGTAATTGAACTTGAAATTTACAATTAATTTAAATAAAATTATAATAACCTGAATTATGCCCAAACCCTTTAATACTATGGAAAGAAAACAATCGAAATAAGGTAAAAAGATTTCTAGATTACAGTCATTTTAAACTTTCCAAACTAAAGTTAACCAACAATTGTCAATGAAAATCACCCTTTATAAAATCAGTTTAAGCAGAAATGATAAACCTCCTAGTTCATTGTGTTGATGTAAAGTGGTTGAAGTTAAGAACATATGTCACTGTAACTCAAGTCAATATCTCCATACTAAATCATACTCCAAAAAACTTCCAGATACAGGCTTATATTCTAGGATAATTTGAATATGCACATTACAATGTGGATTTAAAGTATCATCAGATAACTGCTGAGTAGCACTGTATTATCAGTAGCGGTTGAATTAATGATGACCTGGGACAATTTTATTTTTATTTTATTTTAACATATAGATATTGGTACTAGGAGGCACCAAATACATATGCGCCACACAAATCTCATTTGATATGCGTGAGGACTGTGATACTGCCCAGGTGCCCAAACCGACCATTCAATGAGTACTTATGTCCGATGTGTAGATATTATCATCTTCGATTGAGATCATGAACCGATCAACGTTAGACTATCATTGAAAACCTGGAAGCATTGAGAGGCCTTTTCGTCTTGGTATTGAACTCCTCATCATCCCACACACGGTACTCATATGCATGGTCTCAACTAGGACTTAACGATCTCCACAAACCTATTTTGATAATTTTCATTTTCAATGTTGTTGACTCTGTTATTATCCTTGCAAACAATAAAGGCGTTATGTGTATACTGTCTGAACCCATCAGACAAGATCAAACCTATATACTCTTAGAATAGTGTGAAAAAGAACAAGCTAAAAACATACCCATAAATCAGTTGTCCTGGTATTTTTATAGAGGAACACACGTCTAAATGTGAAGAAGAAATGGTCTCTTTGAACAAAATATGAAAAGTTAACATAACCAGATACTTTTTAAATAAGTTCGTCTATTAAAATGCTTCAGAACGTAATCAGCTAGACTAGTTTATAAGGTTTGTGCTGACTAGAGAATCATAGGTTTGTTATCGATATCTAGCGCAAACGTATATGTAAATTAGTTTGACTGATTTTATAAAGTTAATTACGCACTCAGAGGACATTATTTCATATATTCGTGAATACATACTACCATAACTGTCAAAAAAATTAGATATATAAATAGCACAGTCTTTTCTCACATATTTGATGTTAAGTATACCTCAAATCTAGAGGAATTATTGTCATATATAAAAACTTTTATTTAAATTTGATCGAATAGTTTCACAGTGTTTGGGCGCCGAGTTGATGTGAGACATTAAAGAGGAAGAATATATTTGTCAAATTTCAGCGAATGAATTTGAAGTAAATCCAACTTACTTATGCACACAATCTGTCATCTCAACACTTTTCTTTTCACACCACATGCCACTTACACACTACTTTAAACATTGTTAACGTTGATTGAATGACCAATTCAGTATACAGTGAACTGGAGAACCATGTACCTATTTATATTTGATAATTTTGATGTTTGATTATATTTCCCTGAAAAAGCTTGGACCAGATTGCCAGGCGAAACGTTGGATTTACTTCAAATTCATTCGCTGAGATTTTACAAATACATTCTTCTTCTTTAATTATTGTCATTTCTATAATAAATTTCGAATAGTTTACAAAAGGTTTACAATAATTTCTCTTATAAGTTATAACTTTCATGAGGATCCCTGATATATGTTCAATATAGTAGATTTAGACACTTTGGTTCTCAATACGATAGTCCTACTTCTAGTCAAATTGGTTACTTCCATTTCACGTTATACACCCTTATACAAGACTTCTTTTATTTTCTTCACTAGCCTCCCGTCATCTTATGAAATAATCTTAATATCCATTGATATTATTATTACAGTTGATCACTTGATGTGAATATGATAATTTAACGTTAAAACTGAACAGTTAATGAGTCAATTTTTATTTCTTTTCTTCTTATTATCATTTAAAGCCAGAGAACTAACTGATTCATCCATAAATTGATCATTATAAAAAGTGAGATTTGACCTGATAAGTAGTTATCTTATTTACTTATACCCATCGTATTTTTCATTTCAACTGCTTTAATCTGACTAATTCTTAGTTACATTTTATTTTTATTTTACAAGACAAATGGTGTACACTAACTAAACTTACTTGTTTACTGATCTGCATAACATTGGTGTAGATTATTAACAAAACAAAACTAGACATTGTGAAATGTTTATGATATGTGAATCAAGATCATTGTGGTGTCTAGATTTGAGTTCAACACAACTTGAAAAAAAAACTAGTTGAAAATGTCTGTTAAAATAATTGGAATAACATTGAATTCTTCCTTCGTGATTATTGGTCAATTTTTAGTCATATAGGTGATCAATGCCAAAATTTATCATAGAGTAAAAGACAGAATTTTAATTCATTTTTCATAGTAACGTGTTTTAAGATTTTCTTAAATATTCATTAAACAATTCAATTAGAGACGATCGCCTTATAAACCTCTTGATAAGATGGTGATTGGAGGTAGTCAACAAGAAACCCTGAACCTAGGTTTCGTGCTACTTGGCATCCGTCAGCAAGGTATACCTTTAATCTTGAGGGAACTGATACTCCCTGACGGATTCGATCCCGTGTCACATAGCTTCACAGTTAGAGACGTTACCACTGGTACATGGTTACTGTTAACTACCTCCAACCACTATCTTATCTCAACAATAGTACATGCACTGTCAAGTCAACTAGACCAGTGGACAAATTTCAACTTGGTTGATAGAATTAGATCTACACTAAGAAGAATCTGACATACATGGTATTGATCACTACCCAGTGATCAATCAATTGTGAAACCTCTTGATTTTAGACACACCCATAATCATATGATTTTTTTTCATTCACAATAATACTATATATTTATGATGGCAAGAATAATAAAGATTTTATAGCTAAAAATATGAACTTCATTTAGTAAAACAATATCACCACTAATAACGATTAAATCGAGAACATTACAATTAATCAGTTAATCTATTAGGACAGCACATACAAGCGAACAATATTATCTTCAACTAGATCATCGTCATGATTTGCACTAATAAACACGAATGTTTATATGAGTATATGAAAACAATATATAGATCAGAGCAGTTTATGAGACGTTAATCAAAATGAACTAGATTGCATAATCAAAAAGTACAAAATAATAGTAAAAGGATAGGTGTACTATTTGTGATAGTAACAAAAAAATAATCAATAGGTCAACATTGGAAGTAGGTCAAACTTGGATAAAAAAATTATCTAGAATTAAGTATTTGATTGAGATCATGAACCGATTGATGTTAGACCATCACAATTGGAAACCTGGAAGCACTGGACGGCCGTTTCGTCTTATTGTGCGCAATGCTGAGGAGTCCCACAACATGACTAAACAGCCGTCCAGTGCTTCCAGGTTTTCCATGGTGGTCTAGCTTCAACTGACTCATGATTTCAACTATTAAAATATTTAGTTTAATTGAACATATTTACGATATGTAGCCCAGCATTTACGTGTTTTACTAGACGATAATAATTAAATAGGCTAATTATAGCCTACTAATAATCTATTATATGTATTTTGTCCAATTTTTTCATTGTGATCTTATATTCATTATCACTTGGCAAATCGAGTTGTTTAAATAAGGTTTTTCTGTTAAATGTTTTTAATATATTCAGATAAAAGTATACATTGAGTTTAACTTGGTGATATCCGAGACCATAATAGCACAGAAGTTATTTTCTTAAACCGATAAGAGTATGGAAAATTTTCGACTTATGTCAAATCTATCACGAAAACCAAATTTACGAAATATGACGCTGAAATTTAACTGATTATTTGCTGTTGAATGATTGCGCTGAGACCAACTTATTTTCAAGGTTATTGAAGATTATGGGATTTATTTTTGCAAATGTTTCACCATGGATAACTTGTTATTCAAAACGTTTTTATTTCCTCCCTTTACTCATTCCGCATTCTTTTTTGATATTTTAATCATTACTGGAATTATCACTGTTCTTCATCATATTTCTTCGTCATTTTTTCCTTTCTTAGTCCAGAATGGAATCCCCTAGACTGACGTATTATTTCTACAATTTCTAAAATGTTTTTGTAAGTTTGTCTACCCAGCTACAGACGAATAGTTTCGTGGAGACTTAAGTATATTTTATCACAAACCATTAAGAATCAGGAAACAAGGAACAGTTGTCCTTTCCTGGCTCGAAACGTATTGGCATTGTCTACTAACGACGTTATAAAACTCACATGTATGTCCCACAGTAGACAGGAAAAATTATGACTCCTGACCCAGAATTCAGTAATTTACATCTTCATTGTTAGTTCATGTGTAAATTAGTGCAATTTCTGCTTGTGTCACTGATAATTTGCATCTTATTAAAACTTTGAGAGGATCATCTTCAAACTACCTGGTAAAGAGTGCATGATTATATTTTAGAGATTTGGTTTGATGTAATGCATTGTATATTGTGACTTTAATGATCAAATAGTACTATTCATAAATACAAATGGCGAAATGCAACAAAATACATTCCCTAATGTTGCAACACTTTTAATTGTTAAAATGGCCATTAGTAATAACCTTAGCACTCTCTGATATCAAATTACAGGAATTGCACTTTAAATACCTATTAACTGAAACACCCTAAGTCCAACAGTTTACTATACCATTATTTAGTTCGTTTCAGCGAAGCATCCTTTCAATTTTTTAGCACTTATTCTTCATTTAAACTTCAAAGTAAGTACAATAAGTTGTCTTTCGTGTTCACATTGGGAAGGGATGACTGACATACTATATTGCGCTATTGTTTACCTACTTAGTGGTCTGAATTTAGTGTGTTCATCTATAAGTTATTAGTATTTATAATGAAGTAGCCTGGATTGATATAAACATAGGAATTATGAAGTTATCTGAAATAAGATTATGGTATCAGACGACAAACAATATGCTTGGAACTTTCATTTTTTTATTTCTAACCAAGTTTAAACTTTACGAAATGGCATTGAGAGATTAAATGTAATGCTTCATTTTAATATTGTTTCCTAAATGATAAGAATTTGTCATTAAAAGTGTTAAGACAGACTAAGTTAATATATTAATTAGTTCAGCAAGCATATTACCGTACAGGAAACTTGGGTATCTCTGTTCTAAATGTGACTACTATCAATTTGAACTGTAATTTTCTTTTTTAATGTTTTAAAACTACTGAAATTGCAATTCAGTAGTTCCCGACTAACAGTTACGGAATTCTTTGACAATGAATTATTCGTAGGTGGTATCATAATGACTTAACTAATCTGTACATTTGTTTTGTATCCTGCTGTCTTTTTATATCTCGAGGTAGCTCAACACAAGATCTTTCTATTCCTATTCTATAAGTTGCAATTCTAAGCCTGAGAACATAGTTCTTATACGTAGTTACTACTATCCTATAGTCCTAAATCGAAATGATAAACACAGAAAAATAAATATGTGACTAAAATTTACATTTATCGGTTATATTAATGGTTTTTAATGACAGTTCATTGAGAATTATGTGCTTCACAAATATAAATATTTGTACTGCTGAACTATTTTCCCCTGTATATTTAAATCACAGTACTCCTGAAGGATTTCAAGATAGATATTTACCTTTACAAAGCCCTACTTTTAAGCGGTTCCTATCAGTAATATGACTATGTATAATAAATTGATCTACATCAAGAATGTGAACAAAGTTTATCGATTACTGAGTGCAATTGTCGTTTTACGCAAGCCAAGACAGCCTATTGAAATGTCTGTCTGAATTTACTCGATTTCGAATTTTTACTTAGTTGGCATTATTACTGATTCGTCAGAATGCTTTAAATTTCGGGTTTAATATTAGAAGCCATCAGACAGCGACCGCTAAATTCAGGTCCCACTTAGTTCTGATCCTCACCATTGCCTATTTCCAATTATCGAGGTGGAACGCAAACTTTTAATAAAATTCCAAATTTTGTTGCAGATCTTATGCATAAACTATTCAGTTAATAAGTGAACCTTTTTAGGATAGAGTTATGAATGTGAATCAGTCACTGAATAAAAATTTGTCTCACTCTTGATTTCTTAGCGCTGATCAGATCCTAAATTTAGTGAATGGGCGATTTGACGATGAAGTTATCATCGGTATACTACAAAACATAACTAGTATTAATTAAGGTTGTTTTGCATGATTAAACTATGGATAAATCAGAAAAAGGATAATAGATAAGGTGCTCAGCATTTTCAATTCCTCTTTTTTGTAAATCCCTCTCTTTGAGTTAAGATTTGATTGAAAAGCGTTACTAATCGGATCGGTATTCAAAAATGTTTTAATACATAACACCATGTATTTATATATTGTTTCACATGCTTTGATGTGAAGGAATTGAACAATCTTTACCAAACCATGATTAAATTATATAATAAAAGTAAAGTTCTAATAATTTGTTATCCCCAGTCTTAAGTAATTCACATAAACTTGAAAAAGATCCAGTTTTTATACTACAAATATCTATATACCAGTGACTAGGATTCCGAACAAATTAATCTCAAATAATCAACATATAAATTTCACAACGATTGACATTGTTTACGCTGTCTTTGACATTTCACAACTGACCCATAATCTTCATTTTGTCAATGAAAGCTTTTCAGTTCAGTATAGTAAACTCATTTTTTCCACATTATAACAGAGGCTATGTATTTATCAAAATGATTTGAGAAGCAATAGAAGGATACTTCTTTGTGTTTTCAAAACTAGATAATTAATAAATGCTTACAAATGTCAAGATGATTAACTATAAGTAAAATTGACAGCAAAATAATGTCGGTAACACTTCTGAATGATATTGAAATGTAATGAACTAACTGAAGTTTGCAATTAATTACAATTATTGAAAATGATGTATACTTATATTATATATATGTATGTTTATTTATTTATCTACAGAGATTTTACGAAACACACACTCTAATCAAAATAATTTGGTCAACAATCAATCAAGTAAGTAAAATTTTATTTGATGGTGATACGAAATCAATTCCTCCTGCAGCTCCTCTAGAGCTACTGCCCGTCCCAAGCTTAAGTGCAGGAGTGTTGTGCATGGGGTCAGCAACCCTATCCCGTATAAAACAACCTTGCCAAAAACACGCTAACCAGAATAAAAAAGTTGAACCGTTCAAACTCTCCCCTCCGGGTTGAAGGATCTTCACTCAGAAGAATTATGACGCCTCATGGTGAAATACGAGATTATTCAGAAATCACGAGACCGATACCCATTCTAACAACCAGAGCAATAATTAATATAGGCAAATTGAACGTCCAGACAAAGTGAGTGACAGGGAGGATCAGCCAAATAGCCAGGGAAATGAAGAGATACAACTTGAGGGTGTTCGGAACCAGTGAAACCCATTGGACTGAAGACGGACATAAAAGGTTGAATTCGGGAAAGATGCTGCTGTACTCCGGTCACGAGTAAGAAAACGTTCCACAGTTAGATAGTCACTTTGATGCTGTCCAAAGAAACACGTAATGCACTCATAGAATGAACATCTCAAGGATCCATAATCATCAAAGCGTCATTCAAAACAAAAAGGGAGGGAATCACAATGAATCTTATCCAAAGCTATGCACCCACCAATGATGGTGACGACGACGATATAGACCAGTTTTATGAGAGGCTGCAACCGACCATAGTGAAGTGCCCAGGAAACGACCTGACAATCATGAATGGGATACCTAAACGCCAAAGTCAGAATGGAGAACATCAGGTATGAAGATATCAGGAGACACATGGACTGATTGTGAGAAAGGAACGAGAATGGTGACAGATTCGCAAATTTATGTTCATTCAACAAAATGTTTATAGATGGCACAATATTCTCCCACAACCGCATACACAAAGGTAGATGGGTATCAGCGGATCACACTACAGAGCAGCACATCGATCATATTTCCATCAATAAAAAATCAGAAGCCCAATGGAAGACGTAAGAACCGTGAAAGGAGCTGACACAGCAACATATCACCACCTGATGGATGTCAAGATAAAACTGAAGCCAGAAAAGTGCTGGACAGCTGGGGGAAAAAAACAGTACGAAGTTCCGATACAGCCATCGTACGAGATACTGACAAACCTAATGAATTCGGGACGGATCTAATCAACAGGTTCCAAGCCTTACAGGATCTAAATAAAAAGAAACTAACATAAAGGACAATTGAAAAGGTATCAAAGAAGAACTAACTCCAACAACTCAGGAGGTGCTGGGTCGCAATAAGCATCACCATAAGTAATAAATCTTTATCGAAATCCTGGACAAGATTCAAGAAAGCAAGAACAAGAAGGCTACAATTAATAACAGCCGAACGAGAACAGATAAAGTCAAAGCACAATCTGAATACACTGAAACAAACAAGCAAGTGAAGAAGAGCACTAGAGCCGAGAAGCAGAAATACGTAGAAGAGCTAGCAACGACAGCGGATAAAGCTGCAACAGAAGGAAATATGAGACAGCTGTATGATATGAAGGAGAAACTAGTAGGGAAATATAGTAAACCAGAGAGACCAGTAAAGGACAAAGAAGGCAAGCCAATCACTGAGATTCAAGAACAGAGGAATGAATGGATAGAACATTTTGAAGAACTTTTGAATGGACCAGCCCCACTGAACCCACCAGACGTCGAGGTAGCACCAACAGACCTTCCTATAGATCTCACTCCACCAACGATCGAAGAAATCAGGATGACCATCAGACAAGTCAAGAGTGGGAAATTATCAGGAACTGACAATATACCATCCGAAACACTGAAACCACACATAGAAGTAGTTGCAAACATGCTCCACTTTTTATTCAGGAAGATTTGGGTGGAGGAACTAGTGCCGACACACTAGAAAGAAGGAAAATTCATCAAGATACCGAAGAAATCAAATCTGAGTAAGTGTGAGAACTACAGAGGCATCACACTACTATCGGTACCAGGAGAAATTTTCAACAGAGTGTGGCTGAACCGGATGAAAGATCCATTAGACGTCCAGCTTCGAGATCAGCAGACCGGATTCCGTAAGGATTGGTCATGCATAGACTAAACTGCGACACTACGGATCCTCGTTGAACAATCAGCTGAATGGAATTCGTCACTATACATCACATTCATTGATTATGAGGTGTTTTACAGTGTGGATAGGAAGACTATATAGAAATTTGTTCGACCCTATCGTGTACCTGAGAACATCGTTAGCAGCATCCAGAATTCATACGATGGACTACACTGCAAAATGGTGCATGGAGCACATCTAACAAACTCATTCCAAGTGAGTACCGGTATCAGAAATGGTTGCTTACTCTCCCACTTTCTTTTCCTTCTGGTGGTTCACTGGTTTATGAAAACCTCCACATCTGAGGGGATGCACGCAATACAATGGATAGCTCGGAATCAACTAGACGATTTGGACTCTACCGATCACCTTACTTTTCTATCCCAAACACACCAGCAAATACAGGTCAGTATAGCCAGTGTAGCAGAAACCTCTGCAGCAGTAGGCGTCAACATACACAAGGGAAAAATCAAGATCTTCAAATACAACACGGAGAACACTAAACCAATTAAACTTGATAAAGGAGCTCTGGAAGAAGTGGAAACTTTCATGTACCTGGACAGTATCATCGATAAACGTGGAGGATCTGGTGCAGACGTAAATGCAAGGATTGATAAAACAGGGACAACATTCCTACAATTGATGAACATATGGAACTCAAAACGACTGTCTGAAAGCCAGTATCGAATCCAGAATCTTCAATACGAACATCAAGACAGTTCTACTTTACGCAGCTGAAACTTGGAGAACTACCACAACCATCATCAAAAAGGTAAAAGTATTTATAAACAACTATCTACTCAGGATACTCTATGTCTGTTGACCAGATACCATCAGCAACAGCCTACTTTGGGAGAGGAGAAAACAACTTCCAGCTCAGGAGAAAATTAGATGTTGGAAGTGGATAGGACATACATTACGGAAATCACCAAACTGCATCAGGAGGCAAGCGCCAACTCGCAATCCTGAAAGGAAATGGAAAAGAGGAAGGCAGAAGAACACACTACGTCGGGAATTTGAGGCAGACATGGAAAGGATAAATAGCAACTGGAAAAAATTTGAAAGGGTTGCCCATGATAGGGTTGGATGGAGAATGTTGGTAGGAGGCCTATGCTCCTCCATGATGAGTGACAGACCTAAGTAAATAAGTAAGTGATACAAAAACAGAATTCTAAATAATCATAAAAAGAGTGACCTTCGCCAGAGTTTTCTGGGTATTCCGTATTGAGGAATTAACTTGACTAGTTAAAGTTTAATATTTATCAAATGATTTGTATCATCCAGCACCTATAGGACATTAATTTATCTTTACCATGCAAATGTAGTTTTCATTAAAGAAAATCTGCCTAATAAATATGGTTGTTTGGATTTATTAACATGTCAGTATCCAATACAATACGATTAACCTTGGTTCTGTCTTACTAGGATAATAGTTCTTGTTGAACAGCATAAATATATTTAACAAAATAGTCACTAGAAAGACAGAGTGCCTGTTGTTCACAAATTTGCTACCGGCAATTCAAACAACTAACCTACTGATAACATTGAGAGATGGTTGTACAATACCGCTAACTTATCGAAGTTAGACATGTCGAACATTAAGTGCCGACTCCTTAGTCTAAAGTTAGATCACTCGATGCCAGACCTGAGGTCCTTGTGTTTGACCTTCAGTGGCGTCGTAGATATATGCTGTTGAGTAGTCTCACTCTAATACCACCTATGATCATCCGAGACAATCAAGTTTCAAATGATTGTTTGACTAAAGTTAATCTATAATGTAATCAAGTGTGTCTGCTTATTTTCCTTCACAGTGACACAAGGCTCGAATAGACTTCAGTATATCTGCTGGTATATGATGAATGGAATTTTTTCATCACTGATAATCTCCATGATGATTTGTATGATAATTTTAACTGTATGGAGAATGACGAAGGTATGATTACAAAAAAGCCATATATGTACTCAACTAGTGACCTTGAAAGACAAAAACTACATCATAGCATAGAAAGCGAATATTAAGTAGACAGGAATAGAGAATAGATAAAAATTAGCTCGGCGTCAATAGTTTACAAAAAATATGGTTTAAAAGCATACGAAAGGAAAAGACTTCAAAATTTGCATCGTTTATCAGCATGATTCAAATAAAATAAAGTGAATATCTACAATCGTATGTATATAACATTTTACTCCTTGAAAAATGAGATCTCAATCAAAAACTTAATAATCTCCACAACCCCTATACTAGTAATTAACATGTGCTCACTAGTGACTAGCTTCGTGAGGGAATCCTCGGAGTTCTAGTGAGAAGCCGTGACCAGTGGAGCTAATCCATGTCGGGTAGAGACGGGTATCTAGGTCAGTAGAATGGAAGGTGGTCGCGCAGTTTCGTGGATTGGTTGATGTTAGACACTATCACCATTGGATGCCGGTTCAGTGGTTCAGTTAGTTAAGTGTTCGTGCGCGAGACCGAAGGCCCTGGGTTCAAATCCCCCGAGCGGGGTCGTGGATGCGCAGTGGTGAGGAGTCCCACAATAGGACGAAACAGCCGTCTAGTGTTTACAGGTTTCCAAAGGTGGTCTAACATCAATCGGTTCATGATCTCAATCAAAAACTTAATAATCTCCACAACCCCTATACTAGTAATATCACAAATTCCTATTATTCCATAGTTCTGATTGATGATTCATATTAATTTGAGTTCATGGTGAATATTATATTTAAACCATTACATGTATGTCAACTTAGTGACATTTTCATTTGATGCCTAATATGATTTTGGTATAGTTAAACAAAGTCAAATTTAACATCTAAAATTATTGTTACATAAAATTCACTCTTTCAAAACTACCAATGTTGTGTTAACTTGACTGGAATCCTTTAACAGTCTACGACAGATTACTCAAGATTACCATTTTTAAATTCTTGTTATTTATGATTAAAGGATTTGGCTTTCAAAACTTATAAAGAAAGTTCAGAGATCATTTCCGTTATTTATATTTGGTTGTTCTATATAAAACTTGCCTAAAAAATTGTATTTTTCTACCATTTAAGATTGATTATAAAACTTTAGGTAACTCCTAATATCAATCAATTGTGATGCCTAAAACACTAGCTCGTTTATACTGAGTATCACACAAAATGTACAAAGTTAATTTAAAATCAGTGAGAAAACATGAATGATATTCAGTTTATGGAGATAAAATTTTTAAGGATGAAAATTTTTCCAGATCTGACCTACCATACTGATTTGGGTTTTATTCCCTTTGACTAATCGAAGCGTCGTTTCCAGAGTCTACTTTCGGATCAATAAATACAGCGACTTTTTTATTATATTACCCATTTGCAGTTCACATCACCCCAATCATATCGTCTCACATATCTGTTTCGAACATCGAAGCTGAGAATCTATTAAGAATGATATTTGTGGATGTTTGGATTACAACATTAAGAGAATTTGTTAGTGAAGCTATTAACTCGATGTAAGTGTTTCGTTTATATTTGTAAGATGGAAGGATTGTTCATAGGAGTATTTCATGGCATCGTCTGTTAACGGAAGATCAAATAATGGAATGAATATCAATTGAATATCATACTACTTCTGTTTCATTTGATCATAATACAATGCTGTATTGTTGTTCTTTTCTTGATAGCATCTTATATGAGAAAACCGGAAGTATTATTTACTATACTATCGATATTGATTTTATCAATTCTTATCAATTTGGGATTCTGCATTCGATGTTTACTATTTCGTTCCTATATTGGTAAGCTATCAACTAGAAAATGGAATTGTCAATTTTTATATTTACTATGTTAATTGATGTTTTCTGGACTTTTCTTCAGAATTTACTTTTTAAGCATAATCCGGAATTAAATACATCTTTCCGTATACCTTTAACAAAAACATAACTAATTCAATATTCATCTTGATTAGTTATTCGTTTAGACCTTTATAATTACTATCAAACAAAAAAAAGTCCATGAATTATTATTAAGATTAGGCTAAATCGACATTTTTTCAATAAGTCATGAAGTCTTACTTTCCATAATAATCAGTTATTTCCTATGAGTATAATTAATCAATATGTTCAAAAACGATGAATCTACATTATACGCGAAAATTAATCAATGTAGTCAGGAAAATCAGCAATTGTAATGAAGAAACATACTTGTGCATTGGAAATAATGGTTATAATAGAAAAACTCGCCGTTTCCTTACACCAGTAAAGTTCAAGTTAATATAATTATCTGTATATGTATACACAGAGATAAAAACTTTAATCAAAAGTAAACCTCATTTACAGTATGATTTGAACTCGTAGGCATCAAACTACTAACACGACTCTTTACTAAATGGGCCACGAAACTTAACCATTAATTAAGTTTACATTCTGTTCTAACTTCTAAGTGAATTGTTTTAGTTTATATTATTCTCTCCTCCTTGTATTTCCTTATTTCTCTGTACTTCAGACGCATCACAAGAAGGATCAAGTAAAACAAGTTGCCTAGCTGCTTGTCTTTGCTTACCTGATGAAATGAGGAAGGGTTCACTAATTATGACGACACCAATTCTACCTCGAGCAACTATGACGCCGCATATGAATCATGTTAGAATAAATGGCTCAGACCATGGAGTACTTAATTCGTCATACAGCTTATCTGCTATACAAAAAATACCTTTACTCTACAATGGTACATCATATAAGGAGAATCCACCTACAAATTACATTCCGACAAATTCATTACCAGGTACTTTCAGAAAGAATGGAATGCAAAACCTGAGAAACAATAGCATACCACAACAATTTGGAGGATTAACGCAACCTCAAACTTTAGATATGGAGAATACCAATCTAACAACATTTCCTATGATTGATGACACAAATAAGTTTGTTAGTTTCACACCAACATACATTCGAGCTCCATCACTTAATACTCCTTCACCAAATCTTAATCGTGACGTGGTGAACAATTATGGATACTCACCACAAACTCCGGTACGTCATTTTGGGCAGGGTGAAATTCACTCATTTCCGCAGTATTTAATACGAATGCAGCATCCGCATGTCATATACGACGATGTTGCTGGAGGAACATCAAGTATTGTAGGGTCATTGGGTCATAGCCCAAGTGGTAGCATTATAGACACTACAAGTTTGCAAACTCATTTAGCTCAACTTCAAAATATCAATGTAGCGAGACAAAATAATATATTACAACCAACTAATTCAAGTTTCTCTAATCTCATGAACCTATCCCCGGACTCTAATATTCAGGGTCATTATATATCACTCCAACCCTCAATAAGCCATAAATTAGCAGACGATAAGATTGCAACTTCGGTTACTTCATCAGTTCCAGTATCAGTGTCTACACCAACTTCACCTAATTACTCAGGTCAAACCCGGTTAGATACATCTGTTATCCCAAGTGTTTCCTCGTCAACGACTGGAAGTTCAACTAATTCGCAACAAACAGTAACATTGACCCAAGCTGACAAATCATTAAATACTAATATATCAAATATAAATCCACCTTCGACATCTTCCCCATCAATTAGTTGACTTGTGGCAAACACAACAAACAACTGATTCTTACTCACTTGGATTTAATAATAATTGAAACATAAAAAACAACCACTAATTTCTAGTGATATTAATTGAGAAATTTTATGTACAATACAAGCTAGATATCAAAGAATCTGATATATTTCATATCGTTCAATCTTTGCAAAAGATTATTGTTATTTAAATGAGAATCCGCGATTGTTGTCATTAGTTTTATACAACCACGTTTCGTAAAATTCTTTTTAAGTAGACTTTAGAAACATGTTTATAGACACTACTCAGTCAGTCAGCTACAACGTAGTACCAGGCACATATATGCACCGGTCCAAGTTGCCATACGTCATTAGCACAACAAAATGAACACCGAACTCCTAAAGTAGTTAATTCAGTGGTGGTAATATATAAAAGATTGCATATAAGGATATAGTACAGGAAGAAAGAATTAGTCCATAGGAAGAAAGGTATGAAGTAATTTTAATATCACGGTTTAAGGGAAGACAGAGAGTGTATACACCGACACCATTGTGACCGATTCTGAGCCATGTTACCCAAGGTCTCCAACCATTGGTTACGATAGTCACGCGGACCCCAAGCAGGTAGTCTGCATCTACCAACATGACTCACACTAGAAGTCACTTTAAGGACTGATGCCATGTTTTAGTTTGGCCGCCCCTAACTTTCTCCCAACCATCCCCAACACTAGTCAGCATTGCTCATCGTGGTAATCGGTATTTAGGTATACGTAACACGTGGCCCAACCACCTCAGTCGATGAAGATTCACAACCTCATCAACTGATTTGCCATCATCAGACACCAACCCATTAGGGTTGATGAGACTACTTCACTCCCGATCATTAGTTCAAGTGTTGAGGCAAGCCAGTCCTGGAGCACTATGTATGCACCAATGAATTATATTTAAAAATGGTAAGGAAAGACATGGATCTCTGTCCTTCTCTTACTTAAAGTAGTATTATTCAACAGTGTACATAACTTACATGGTTTTCCGATGAAGAAAATACACAACGTCCAAGGATTGACCCGGTGGTTAGAGTAGTGGTTGAGTCGACAGTTTGAAATCTGCTGCTTAGATCTCACATAGAAGCGTGAATGATTAGGGGTGATGCGAAAGTTAAGTCAAAGGTTTATTACTATCACTTATCTAATACAGAAAGTTTGAATGAATCGTGTTTATGTATATGTAATCCTGCACGTGTGCTATTGGTGACATATTTACTAACATTTAAGAATAAACTCATAACTTAAAATTAGTGTACGAATGTGAACAGATAATGCACTAAATGAATTCAGCAATAAATGCCTTTAACTATAATAAAACACCAAATGATATTAGGGTTTCATCCTAAGCAAATATCATAGACTACCAAATCTTTGTCTTATCAATGTCCAAATTATTTATGAAACTTACATTGGCTGAAATATTTGGTTGACAAAGTATTGAAGAATGGGATACAATTTACTGTTGATGCTAAAAACCGATTAAATGTGTATCTGCACTATTTTGTGAGTAGAAAATGAATTTTCAGTTAGTGTTCAGTGGATATAAGCATTGGCTTTTGAAAGACTGTTTCGTGGTCTTGGAAACATACAAACGAGGACGTCATTAGTCTGACTTTCGCATTATGACTAAGCTCAGATTTAACTTAATGAAATGTATCTCTGAGAAATATTTTTTATGTACAAAAATGGACTGGTTTATGAAAAATGTTAAAAACTTGGGGAAAAAAACGGATATGCATGACTAAACTATTGCTAGGTTAGACTGTCTTAAGTTTACTTGTTTCTCTGTTTTGACTGCCTGTAATGTTCAGAGTTGTAATCTACATAGATCCACTACAGTAAGCAATTTTATGCTTGCTGATCAATCATTCTTGAAAATCAAACAAAATTTCCTTTCTGAGCTCAGTATTTTCAGAAGCAATCTCGATATTGTAAATTATCAGAAAACTATTGGATTGGTCGAAATTTAACGAGAATGACTATAACCAAATAGGCAGTATATTAAAGGCTATAATAATGATACACTGTACAATATATATCACTTTCATGAATACAATATAATAAATAATAATTCAGTTCAATGATTAAATATATCGAAATATAACATCATTTTTGGATATCACCAATTGTACTTCTAGTTTCACAACACATCGAAGTATAAGCGAAAGCATTTCTTCTGTGTAACCAATGAGGAAACTGGCTTCTCCTGGAGATATTCGCTTTAATAGTAAAAAAGCTACACGTATTACGTTACATTGTCGTTTGATAATAACCTTTTGGGTGTGTAGAAAATAAAGTAGTTAAAAATGAATGTGATTTACACCGAAAAACAATAAATATAAAACTCTATTATTTGTCGATAACAAAAGAAATTTTATTACAACAATCGGATAAAAGAATACACGATATAAATGAGTATAAAAATATTACGAAAGAGTAAAGAAACGTCATATTATCAATAAAAAAATAAGAATAATGCTTAATAATAAATAAAATTAATTTGGAAAAACAGTCAAAATGGATTTCTTTCAATTAATGAAATTCACTTAAGTTTTATGATGAATCCACTAAAAACTGTAGAAAGATACCTACTGCCTTTTAATATGTCATATCTGACAACACTCAAAGCTACTGCCTCGCATGATCATTAGGAACCCAACCTGGAAATCGTAATGGATCGGCAGTTACCAACCCACAAAAGCTTTTTACCCCCTGTAGACGTCAATTATCAGTATAGGGTTGTGGAGATTATTGAGTTTTTTTATTGAGATCATGAACGGATTGATGTTAAATCACCAATGAAAACCTGAAAGCATTGGAGGGCTGTTTCGTCCTATTGTGAAACTCTTCAACAGTGCGCATCCACGATCCCTCTCGCGGAATTCGTTCGCGCGCGAGACTGAAGGCCCTGGATTTGGATTGATTATTGGCGATAACATCTTATTATGAAAATAAATGCTTCCAGGGTTTTTAATTATCAAATGTGCGGTACATAGGCTGTGACGCATAAATGTACGACATAAACTACCAGTGAAATGCTGTAATCAGTTCTTGAATTACCTACCCTCAAAAATCACTGAACCGTAGTAGTCACGTAAAGACACATCACAATTAAACAACTTATTATTATCATCTTCCTTTATATTTTAAGTCGTTCCCATCTAAGAGACAAAATGTTATGGATTTCAAAGTGTTGGGTGACAATACTTCATTATTTCGATACATAGAAGAACTGGTTTTATTATTTATTTATTTTAACACATCGATATTGGTACAAGAAGGCACCAAATAGATATGTGCCATATAAATCACACGATTTGTGTGAGGACTGTGATACTGCCCGGGTGCCCAGACCGAAGTAGGTAGTTTTCTTAGGGGACCACTCCCCGAGCCTTTAACCTAAGGGTCTGATCCACAAGGCAGTGGAGCGTCGTGAGGAGATGCAGTCCGATGGTAGCCAGTGACCAACGATTAGTTCATACTCCATTTGTTCCCACAGGATACTGGAGCCCATGTCCACCATTGATTTGGTTTGGAATCCGGTTAAAGCGCCGGACATTCGCTTTTCGTCCTCTCAATTTCGTAAACAACACCCCCGCCACGAGGCAGTGAGTAGGACTTCCCTAGCAGAGGCTGAATACACGTGGCCGTGTGAGAGCAGTTCGAGAGGGAGGGCGGGCCCACTCCACATTCGGCCATACCAGGGCATTTGGGGGCAGAAGGACTGGTCGCAAAAAGGAAATCTGATTTTAGCTGAGATAATTATCCGAACAGTTTAGTGAAAATATTCACTGAGATAGTTTGTGAGGGTTTAGTTAATTCAAAGATAACTTTTACGACTGACTGAAATCATTTGAAAAATATGTAAAAACGGGAGATCAGTCAACAGCTAATACACACTAGTTCGGAACTCAAATGATACGTAACCTTGACTACATACCGAGTCGGACCTACAGCCATCAAGGCTGAGTCATAATAATTTGTTACTTGACATTAGTAACCTGCTGCGAAATCGATGTCGCGAACTTTTAATGGGGAGATGTAATATATCCTAGTGAAGATTAAACTATATATATTCTTATTGTGTAACTATTGAGTAACTAGATTATCTATATTTATATTCCTCTTATTATAAGCTTTAGTTTGACCTATAGAATATTATTATACGATTTACTACGCTTAAGTTATACCAAGTTTATTAATTACAGTCTCTGACAATCACAGCCACTCTTTGGCTTGATCTTGTACAAATGTCATTTTTATTTTATGGTGTGATGTGGTCTGGTTGGCTTGTATATAAACCAGGTATGTTTGAAATAGATTGTTCGTATAGTGGAAGCTGATATTGGTGTTCTGGATCCGACAGGCAAGGCTATGCAGGAAAAGTCCAATAAGGACGCTAGGCCACTTATACCAGTCAAGACGTCATTGGTTTGGCACAGTGCTAAGATTGTATAAGTCGTATGATGATTGGTCAGTAAGTCACGTGGTATTTAACAGTGCTAAAAGTCCCGACAGTAACCTGTGCAGCTGGTTAGTTATAGTGTTATAACTCTGTTTTCTTACGGTTAATGACCCAGCTATTCCTATTGCTTAGTATTCTCGGACACCGATTCACTCGACAAGTCCCCAAATCAGAACACGGTTGAACAGGAAAATGATTATATTCCAAATAGCAAGTCAGAAGCCAGTAGGAAGCACAATAGGGGAAAACGTCGGTATATTTATAGTTTTTACATAAGAAGAATCCAGAATATTCTCCAACTATCGACTAGCGCTGATTGGATAAGAATTAGCCAATCAGCGTGCACCAAAGCAATCATGCATTGAGCATGCTTTAATCTAGTCTATGTCCCGCTAACACCTCCCCTCTGAGCAGATTCGTAGGATCTGGTGCTAGGGTCCAACTGCAACTGAGTGACTGGCTTGTGCTTTCGATTAGTCCATCGTCTAGGCAATGAAGAATTATCACTTTTTCCTTGCACAGAGACTGACATGTCTGTTCCCGGCGTTTTGATTTTTCTTAAAAAAAAGTATGCATAACTTTTAATTTTCCAACATTCTCCTCCTCCTCGAAATAATGTTGGGTCCTTATGGCTCCAAATTATAACTAGTAGGACTTTATTTAAACCATGTTTCTCGTATTGACTGGAGAATCCACTAAAAATGACTAGAT